ATCCGTGTTTACCGTGTTTCTATTGGTGTTTATTAAACACGGGATCCATGTTTACTGTGTGTCTATGTGTGTGTGTGTGTGTTTCTATGTGTGTGTGTGTGTGTGTCTATTTGTGTGTGTGTGTCTATGTGTGTGTGTGTGTCTGTGTGTGTGTGTGTCCATGTGTGTCTGTGTGTGTGTAGTGCCATCCATTCACTAGATGAGCCGTTACTCAGGAATGTGTCTGTTCTCTGAGCTGTCGGAGGTCAAAGGTCAAAGTAAAGTAAAACATAAATGAGTAAAATCATATTCTGACGGGAACAAACTCAAGAGAATAAGAATCTGTCTGACATGAAATCAAAGACGAGGGAATAAATGAAGTAAATATCCAGACAGACGATGACAGTGGAGAGTCGTCTGCATACAGTGAAACAGCTGATTAGAAGAGCAAACCCAGAGCAGAGCCATGAGGCATTCTGGGTAATTTAACACAAATGAGTCATTACAGTGTGAATATGCAATTATCTCCATTCCACCAACAACGTTTTGAATGTTATTAAAGTACTAAACGGACTTTAAGACGCAATAATCAACCAAAATGTTGAGGGTTTTTTGCCATGCGCTGAAGGGATTTTGTTTTTCCGGATGTCCACCTAACTTCTTGAGACCAGATCAGTGAAATATCTGCAAACTTGAGCCAACAAACAGAACTCATAAGTGACTTCTTCTTTTAGCTATTTTCAGAGGGAAACATCCAGATTATCTGGAATTCAGAATGCAGATTTAAAAGAAACATTTTCCATATTTAAAAGATACGTTGTGGAACATATTACCCCGTATATTATACATGTATATTATCCATGTATATTATACGTATTATTATTGTAATTTCAGATACTCTTAGGATGTTTTTCACTGTGAGGACATCATAGACGCAAACTCCTCTGGATTAGAAAACAGGTTAATCTCCATCAGTCATCAGTTGCTGTGTGTTTGTAGTTTGTTCTTCTGTTTATAGCATTAAAATCCCAGAGCCCCCCCCCCCATTTAACATTTAACATGTGTAAGGAGACGGGGCGTGTTGGGGGGGGGGGGGGAGGGGGGATTTGCATCAACACCTAATCACTCAAATAAAGAGCTTTTACTGCAACAGTGTGACTGAGTCTCGTATTCAACCACACTTAGGAGAACAGGATGTTTGTTCCAGATGGTTTGAAGACGTTCACTGAATGTTTCAGTTTCATCTCATGAAGCACACGAGATGAAAGAGATGTGAAGGACTCATTCTACACCAACGGAACCAGAAGGATTCTTAGTTTCAGGTCATTACACACGGATGGAAACACAGCTATGAGTATATTTATATATTACATTTCTGCTCATAGATCAACATGATGAACACTGGAGCTGTAAGTTGGAATAGAATATGAAGAGACTTGAAAGATGCAAATCCAGTTTTGCAAACAAAAGGATATTTAAAATCATAAAGATATGCGATACAGAAGAGAATAGAATGTAAACAATAGAATAGAAGAAAGTGTGTGAAAGTAGAACTAAGGGAATAAATATGTCTCATATGATCCAGATGTTTCATGAGGATTTATTCTGAGTTTGTATCAATAAGTATCAAAGATCAATAATGTCCTTCATCTGTCCGACCAACACCACCATCTCAGTGTTAAGGACATTGTTATCATGTTATTATGAGATTATTCAGACTCAGATGATCACCTGATCAGTTCAACCTCTGACCACTGATCCTCTCAGAGATCAATACCAGAGAAACATATTCATAATCTCAACACCATCAGTCTGGATCCTGTTTATCTTCTTCTCCTTCTTCTTCTTCTTCTTCTCCTTCTTCTTCTCCTCCTTCTTCTTCTCCTTCTCCTTCTTCTCCTTCTTCTTCTCCTCCTTCTTTTCCTTCTTCTTCTTTTCCTTCTTCTTCTTCTCCTTCTTCTTCTTCTTCTTCTCCTTCTTCTTCCCCTTCTTCTTCTCCTTCTTCTTCTTCTTTTCCTTCTTCCTCTCCTCCTTCTTCTTTTTCTTCTCCTTCTTCTCCTTCTTCTTCTCCTTCTACTTCTCCTTCTTCTTCTCCTTCTTCTTCTTCTCCTTCTTCCTCTCCTTCTTTTCCTTCTTCCTCTCCTTCTCCTTCTTCTTTTCCTTCTTCTTTTTCGTCTCCTTCTTCTCCTTCTCCTTCTTCTCCTTCTTTTCCTTCTTCCTCTCCTTCTCCTTCTTCTTTTCCTTCTTCTTTTTCTTCTCCTCCTTCTTCTCCTTCTTTTCCTTCTTCCTCTCCTTCTCCTTCTTCTTTTCCTTCTTCTTTTTCTTCTCCTTCTCCTTCTTCTCCTTCTTCTTCTCCTTCTTCTACTTCTTCTCCTTCTTCTTCCTCTCCTTCTTCTTCTTTTCCTTCTTCTTCTCCTTCTTCTTCTCCTTCTCCTTCTTCTTCTCCTTCTTCTCCTTCTTTTCCTTCTCCTTCTCCTTCTTCTCCTTCTTCTTCTCCTTCTTGTACTTCTCCTTCTTCTTCTCCTTCTTCTTCCTCTCCTTCTCCTTCTTTTCCTTCTTCTCCTTCTCCTTCTTCTACAACAGAAACACAGGTTCTGTTAATACGGAGGAGAAGAAGTTGACTGATTGACTGATTGATGGAACAGGTTTCATTAAACAGTCTATGAGCAGCTGTTAGCTCAGGCTACATCTTCACTAGCACGTTCTGTTCCCTACGTTAACGTCCAGCTCCTCACTGCTACTTTTAGAGCCACTAAAACGGAAAATAAAACGTATTTTGTTGTCTTTACTAGCAGCTGTTATTGGAGCGATCAGCGAGTGGAGGTATCAAACCTCCGGAGACGTCTGAAGTCACGGTTTGAGGCTTTGAGGACGACGGACACAAAAACGAGGACTTTCCTTTCCTGAGTAAAGCTTATTCTGTTCACACATAAACTGTAAAGGAACAAAAGCATGAATTGTCTCCAGCAGACAGACTTCAGCCTCCAGCAGAGCTACGAGAGAGAACACACACTAAGGAAACAGAGGAAACACGTGTCTTGTTTTCAGTTGAACTCCTCCAGGTTCTTGATGGAGGAACATGGAAGGTGAGCTCCAGGTGAGGAGCTACACCTTTGACTGTCCTCAGGTCTGTTTAATGAAGACCTAATGAGGCTCTGACCTCTGACCTGTGACCTGTGAGTTGGAGGTCACATGGTTCAATCTGGTTTTGGGACATTTTGACACGTGAACTCAAGAACTAAAAGTGTAAAATTAACTAAATATTAAGATAGAGATAATGTGTATTGTTGAGAAAGAGGGATGACATCACAACTTTAATATTGACTTTCTTCATCTTCTTCCTCTTCTTCATCTTCTTGTTGTGGTTGTTGTTGTTGTTGTTGTTCTTCTTCTTCTTCTCCTTCTTCTCCTTCTTCTTCTTCTTCTACTTCTTCTGATGGAAACACGACTCCACCAGCTTCTGTCTCCAGTTTCTCTGAGACTTTTGTCCTCTGATGCTTCACTTAATGCATCGCCATCAAAAGGGTCATGTGACCCCTTTCAGAGGCATGCTGGGAGAGTCGCCCCTCCCCCCTCACCAGTGGGGGAGCTCCCCCCCCCCCCGAGCAGCAATTTATTATGTAGACCCTCTGTCTGTCTGCCTGTCTGTGTATCTGTCTGTCTGTCCAACAGTAGGGACGAACCTGTCTGTCTGTCTGTCCGTCTTCGTCTCAGACAGGGAGGTGAACCTTCTATCATTCAGGGTTAGATGAAGCATCCAGTCAACAGCTTCTCTCTCTCCTCTCTGTGATTGGAGGAGGTGTTTGTTATTGTTAATCTAATTTGTTACAGTTTATCCTGTTACCAAAGGATGTTCAGTGTACATTTGTGTCATGTACACAACCGCTCTGTAAAGACAGGTACTAATGCAATATCTCATTAGTAAGCTACGGTTCTTGTAATTCGATTTATGCAAACCATTTCAAGATACAATCACAACAGCAGGTACAGTTAACGTCTCTGTCAAACAACCACTCCAAAAATAGCCGATAAAAAACACATTATTACGTCCATAAACACCCACGGGAGGCTGTTGCATCATTTCAAATTAGCCGGCAGATATTGATAATTTTCTATGTATTTTTAGTCATATCTCCCATTAACATGTAAACATTGTCATCTCTGTGTCTCAAAATGGCAGCTGCATTCTGCCGGTTAGATTGACACCTCATTTGACCCAATAGAAGCTTCTATAGCCCGGCCACAGTCTGGAACAGCCAACGAGAGTCCGCTTTGAAAGACAATGCCCGCCTCTCTTCTTTGGGTAATGCTCAAGCCAATTGCAACAGATCTTGTTCAAACTCATGCTTCGTTATAGCCAATGAAATTACGAAGAGAACGCTATGCAGATTCACAAGGTGCATGCTGGGAAAGTCTTTTGGAACTCAAATCTAGTACCGTGAGTCAAGTACCTGAGACTGATTATGAAGAGCAAAGTCTGGTTAATGAGAATTTTCAAGAATTTGTGAAAGTCAACAATGGTTAAATGTGTTATAGTTAACCATACATTGACATAAACAAACTATAGTTAAAATTTTGGACACGTAGTTTATCATAGTATATGCATTTTGACGTGGTTACTACAAGCCTCCAAATGTGCTTTTGCACTCTTGGAGGCTCTTAGTAAACCATGTGTAAAATATTCATTTTCCGTTGTATTGTTATGAAATTTTAACTTGTACCAGGTACTATGACTTTGTACTATGGTCCCATTGTGTTTTCCAGCTCATAAGACCCA